TGTCGTGTTATTGCTGACGCCACGCAACCCACCAGATATTTCTAAACATCAAAAAATTAGAGGAATTGCAGTTTTCTACTTCCTAGACACAGCCTCCCTGTTGATTCCCTGCCAGCTCTCAGAAACATATCAGGTAACAGACCTGGGGGGGAAGCTGGGCAGCGCACACACACACATGCACACACGCACACACACAGGGTGCTGGGCATGCAAACTGCCTTTCCCTCCTTCCAATGTTGTCTCCCGTCTTGAAACAGTGTTCCTTAATGATCCAAATACATGAAAAAGGTGTCAATGATTCTGCAGATGGAGAGATCTGCTTGATTAATAAGTATGGGAAGGGGGGGCTGCCGCTCAATCTCAGTAGAAACTGGGAAAATGCCAAACAAACCAATGAGAGACCAAATTACACCCATCTACCTGGAACAATGAGAAAGTCAGATGGTACTAAGTAACTCCCATCTATGATGCGAGAATCCTCAGGCACTGCAGGCGGGAGGGTGAACTGGTACAGACTCAGGAAAATCAAGTATGAGTAGCTCTGGGACCCAAAAATCCCACTTGTCAATTACATCCTAGACGCTCTCATACAGGTCTTCAGGCCTCAGATACACCCAACAACAGAGCAAGGAGCTGACCGTATAGACAGGGAGAACAGCAGTGAACGTATGTCCACTGTCAGGAAGTTCAGATCATGTAAAAACATAACCTAAAAATAACTATCACCCACATCCACAAATGTGCACATACACATAGGTTTCTTTGCATGTTTGCTATATGTATAATTTATTATTTATATAAAAGCATACTATACGTGCTATTTTATAAACCATTCCACTTAGTGATATACAGTATTAGATCAACATCATCATTTTTTTTTTAAAGTAGGTTCCACGCCCAATGCAGAGTCCAACACGGGGCTTGAACTCACAACCCTGAGATCAAGACCTGAGCTGAGATCAAGAGTCAGACGCTCAACCCACTGAGCCACCCAGGACCCCCAGCATCATCATTTTTAACAGCTTAAGTGTATTCCATACTTTCCATAAATTAACGAAGATCCATTGTTAGATACTTAGGTTATTTAAATATTTTCACTACCAAACAGAACTGCTCTGAACTTCACTGCCCACGCATCTTTGCTTCCTCTCCCAATTAACAGAATTGGAAGAAAGAAGATGTATCACAGTGAAAAATGTGTGGACCTTGGGGATGGAATTGCTTCGTTAAAGGTATACGTATTTTTCATTACTATATACATTCTGTGCTTTCAGTTTTAATGGTTTCCTTGGATCCACATTTTTTCTGTTGTCTGGCAGGGTGGCTCCTTCAGGGAAAATAGACAAATGGGCTAGGGTTGCTGCTTTATAAGCAGTAACCTGACTACCCTCTTCCTCCCTGGTCTGCGTTGTTAAGGAAATGGAGGGTCACCATCTAAACGAATTCCTACCTCAAAGGCTTCCGGCATCAGCCATGCATCTAGTCACAGAGGACTTTCTGAGGAGCATCAGTAACATAAAATACTTAGGCGTTCCACACTCATTTGCTAAAAATATCTTCATTAGATGCCAGTGTGTGCTTGGAGGCTACCTGGGGTCAGAGAGACACAAAGGATCAAGGTCCAGCTCTGCTCTTGGGAGCCCCCCAGGCTGGAAAGCAAAGGAACACGTTCAGTGACTGTCTCCTGTCTCGACTCCACGCGGGACTTTCAAAACCCCAGCGTGCTCTGGGAGCTCTGGAGGGCCTTGGCTGAAGAGGCTTCTCAGAGGGAACAGAGGAGGGCAAAGAGCAAGGACCTGGCCATGTAGTCATGATGGCAGAGGGGACTCCATGATGGCAGAGGGGACTCCAGGCAGAGGGTCAAAGTGGGGCAAAGAATGCTGGTCCCAGGCCACGTGACCCCTCTGGAGAAGCTCTGGAAGCCCAGCGGGGCTGGAACAGTAGGCAGAGCCGACACAGGGGCTCAAGAGGGAGGCGGGGCCCTGTGTATGAAGAGCCAGCATCGTCTGTACACTAAGGAGCTTGTGCATGGGGGCTTTGGTGGGCAGAGGAAGGACGAGACCAGAGAGGGAGGATGGACAGGGGCAGGCACGAGACTGGAAGCAGGAACAGCAGTGGACATGAAGGCTATTGCTAAGATTCGGACACAAGGTAGGGAGCCAAGCCGGGCAGAAGCTCTGGCAGGTGCGGGAGCTCCCATGGGGGAAGGATACGGGCACAGGCAGGACAGCCAGCCTCCGGGTCACTCGAAGGGTGGAATGGCCAGGACCCAGTGACGACACGGAAGCGGGACACCCACCCACAGCAGCAGGTGGTCGGGAGGCCCGATGAGCTGAGCCTGCTGAGGACTGCGGAGGGGGGAAAGGCCACAGTACAGACCACCAGCAAGATGGGCCACCGGCCCCGCCTCATGTTCGAGAATCTGGTGGGTAACTCAGTCTGCTCCCTGGAATGTAACTTTCTCCTCGGCAAAGAAGCGCATGGGGACTGTGTGCCATGAAGGCCCTTCCCAGCTGTAAAATGCTCTAAGTTCCTGTCCGCCTCGGAAACCAGGGTGGCAGTGGGGCACCTGCAAACTCACCCCCGCAAGAACACGTGCCCGGAAGAGGAGGCAGATCATACACCTAACCAGCTTCTATGAAATCAGAACCTCCCTCCCAAACTGCGCAAACCCCCCAATGAGGCCTGAGTGTCGGCTCTGCCCACCCCCCACCCAAACACGCAGCTCACATCCGGCCACATGCAGCTTGCTTTTCTCCCCCACCCCTGGGTAATAAGGAGCAGACTGGCAAAATAGTTCAAATGCCTTCCTAAAAAGTACACTGCCTTGTAGGCTCGGAGGCCTATTTTGAGCAAAATGTTTCAAACCTCCATGCTCAGAACTGCTCTAGGCATCAAAGCTCACTCCAGCAGAACAATCAGGAAGTCAGTAAAGGACCATGGTGCCTCCACTAAATGCCAGGCCGGCACGGGACACCTAGACACTGGGAGGGACTGGACATCCCTGCAGCCCAGGGCTGTCTGCTGAGTATGGGAGCTTGGCACTAAACCCAGCCACCCAAGCATGGCGTGAGAAGGGCTGTACAGAAGATGCACAAGGCTAGGGCTGGGGCAGGCCAGAAAAGGAAGTGAGGGTCTCACTCAGATGTCCAGAAAACCACACAGAGGAAGGACCCTGGGAGCTAGGTCTTGGGGCAGTCATGGCAGGTGTGCAGCAGAAACTGGCCCCGGGGTAGGAAAGCACAGGCCAACACCATGGAGCATAAGGAAATAAGCAAGTGACAGAGAGGAGTCTCAGAAGGGCTGGCTAATGGCCGCCAGAAGGGCTGGGGCCAGTCTGTAAGAGCCTTGAATGCCACACGCAGGTAATAGCTACACAGGGAGCCACTGAAGTTTGTAAGCAGAGGAGGGAGGGCAGGGGAAAGGATTGGGGTGGGGGGAGATTCAATGCCCAAAGCACATCAAGGGGGCCAGCGCAGTGAGGAACAACACGGGCTGTGCCAGGACAGGGGATGGGGGAGATGGATGTGGAAACACATGCCCCCCCCACCCCAGCCCGCTCCATTTTCTCAGGACCTCTGGCATTTAATCGTACAGACTCACAATGAAACACCTTGACTCACAGTCACACAACAACAACAAACCTCAACAGATAACTCTCCACACTGCCTTTCCAGGTCTGGTTTCCGCTCCTGTGCTGAAAATGCTCCCCAGGGTGGAGAGCCAGCCCCTGGCCCCAAACCTCCAACAGCTGATCAAACAACAAAGCACACTGTCTACACTTGGAATGCCAGTGGTGGGCAGTGAATAATGGACACACACACACCCAGATTTCCCAGCGGCCCGCCTGAGCAACAGGACACGTTTGGTTCATTTTCTGCAAAAACAGGATTTCCCAGGCATTTGGGGAAAATGTCTTCCTTGTATCCCAGGTAGCTTTTCCCATCTCTACTCCAGGGACCCAGGTCCTCCTTCCTCATTTCCCAGACACTTTCTCCCTGAATTTGAGCAACTGACAAAAGCCTCCCCAAGACCCTTCATGCCCTTGGGAGTCTTCACTGGGACAAGCTCTGTCAGGCAGGGGAACAGGAGAACCATTTGCATCCCCCAACAGAAAGGCCCTGAGACCACCAAGGGTCGCCAAGCATCCTGGAGTTCAGCTCCAATCCCCGGTGCAAAGCACACCTTCAACACATGTCCTGGGCACATCCCCAAGCTCTAGACACAGCTTTTTTTTGTTACCACAATGAAGAAAAAGGAAAAAGGCAGGTGGGGCATTAAGAAGCCTCGGAGGTGGGCGCCTGGGTGGCTCAGTGGGTTAAGCGTCTGCCTTCGGCTCAGGTTATGATCTCAGGGTCCTCGGATGGAGCCCAACGTCGGGCTCCCTGCTCAGCGGGAAGTCTGCTTCTCCCTCTACCTCTGCCGCTCCTCCCGCCCCGCTTGTGCTCTCTCGTTCTCAAATAAATAAATAAAATATTAAAAAGAAAAAGGCGCCTCGGAGGCAAGGGAGGGAAGGACAGCAAGATGGGTAAGGTTAAAGGCAGAAGGCCCTGGTTTCAAATTCTACCGCCACCACTGGGTCTACTTGGATAAACTGCCCTGCCTCTCCGGAGATTTTTTTTCCCCCATCTGTGAAATGGGTATAAAATAAATTCTGTGTAAAAATAAATACGGAACTATCAGAATCGGTAGCGCTACTGTTAGCGTTAAACATTAGCAGAGAGTTCAAAGGAAGCCAGTATTCGTGATCGCTGTCGTTAAAGGAGGCGAACATTTCTAAAACGTGTACGGGGAGCGCACTGCTGCGGGGCAGGGCCCGGGCCGCTCGGCCGGCTGCCGCGCACCGAGCCCCCCACCAGCGCCGCCGGCCCCCCCACCCCGCCCACAGCGGAGCCGCGCGCCCCGAGCGTCTGTGCGCGCAGGTGTGGCGGGCGCGCGGTGACAGCAGGCTGCGGGGCAGGGCGGCCCGCGGGGGAAGGACAGGGGGCGGCGGGACCCACCTGAAGACGCGCAGCAGCAAGCAGGCGATTAGCAGCGCGGTGAAGGCGCACGCCACTATCACGGCCGCCTTCAGGGTGGGCAGGTCGCGGAGCAGGCTGGAGATACGGGTCACCAGGGCGTCGCCGCTGCTGTTGGAGCTGCCGCCGCCGCCCACCGGCGCCGCAGACCCCGTCCGGGTGGCGTTCCCGGGCCCCGGGCCGGGCAACGGCCGCGGTCGGCGCTCGGGCTGCGGCGCCGGGGCGGACTCAGCTGTGCGGGCGCGGGCGGCAGGCGCGGCCAGGAGCGCGAGCAGCAGCAGCAGCGGCAGGAGCGGCGCGGGCGGCCGCGCGGCGCGCATCGTGCGGTCGGACAGCCGGGGCCCCGCGGGAGCGCGCGGCTGAGCCCGGGGCCCGCACCGGCGCCGCCGAGGCTGCACCCGGGGCTTCTGCGGCGGAGGCGGCTGCGCGGTGCTCGGCAGGAAGCTGCGGAGCCCGGAAGAGCGCGAACCGCCGCCGCCGCCGCCGCCGCTGCCACCAACACGTTGCACCGAGTCATTCGACGGCGCCGCGGCCCCACGTGGGCGGAGCAGGCCACCGGGCCCGGGTGCAGGCTGTGACCCGCTCCCCGTCTACCCCAACCCCCCGCCCCCCACCGGGGCCTGGAACCCCTGCATGGAAAGCAGTCATGGTCAGGCTCACTATTGTGCAAGCTCTGTGCTTCCGAGTGGACGTTTTATTTAGTTCATTTAATCCTAAAACCCTTAGGAGACAGGTATTTCTTCATTCTTATTGAATCGTTGACTTAGGACCCAGAGAGCCAGCTCACAGCAGCCCAGATGTAACCAACGTCTGTGGGACCTGGAGGTAAACCCCCATTTTATAGATGAGGAAACAAGCCTCCAGGGTGCCTAGGCATTGCATTATATTTTAGCATCTCCCCAATTTCCCTCTTTCTCTCAAAAGAGTTTATCTCATGACATCAATTTCCAGATAGACACTGGGGAGGATATGTGCTATGGTGAGTGCTGTGAACTGTGTAAGACTGTTGAATCACAGATCTGTACCTCTGAAACAAATAATACATTATATGTTTTAAAAAAAGAAGATAGTAGGAAGGGAAAAATGAAGGGGGGGAATTGGAGGGGGAGATGAACCATGAGAGACTATGGACTCTGAAACAAACTGAGGGTTCTAGAGGGGAGGGGCTTGGGAGGATGGGTTAGCCTGGTGATGGGTATTAAAGAGGGCAGGTACTGCATGGAGCACTGGGTGTTATACGCAAACAATGAATCATGGAACACTGCATCAAAAACTAATGATGTAATGTATGGTGATTAACATAATAATAAAAAATAAATAAATAAATAAAATAATAATCTCCCTCCCAGGCTAAAGTATTAGACTCCAGAAGTAATTGGCTTGCTGCCTCTGGTTTGTAAACTAAATGATGCTTAAGTGGAGAAACACAATTGTGGAGGGTTCCAGTGAGAGGCCCAAAGGTGGGAACTGATGAAGAGCACAGAGGGCTTTCCTGGAGCTTTAGAAACTACACTGAGGACCTTCCACCTTTCACCTTGAGGATGGATCCTGGCAGGAAACTCTCCAGTGGTGGCTGAACAGGTAAAGACACATGACAAGAACTCACTGACCTTAAACAGCTCCCTCCTGATCCTGCTAGAGAAAGAGACAGATAAATAAAGATACTACCATCTATCAGTTAGCTGTTGCTGCCTAACAAATTACCTCAAAACTTTGAGGTTTAAAACAGCACACCTATATTATCTCACAGTTTGTGTGAGTCAGGAATCCAGGCATAGCTTAGCTGAGTCTGCTGTTTTAGGATCTCTCACAGGGTTATACTCAGTTGTTAGCAGGTGCTGGGGTCTTATCTGAAGGTTCAACTGGGGAAGGACCTGCTTCCAAGTTCAATCAGTGGTTGTTGGCCAGATTCAACTCTTCACAGGCTATTGGACTGACAGCCTCAGTTCCCCACTGACTGATGGCCAGAGGATGCCCTCAGTTCCCCACCACATGGGCCCTTCCAATATGGCAGCTTGCTTCATTAAAATGTACAAGTGTGGAAGCCAATAGAGAGTCTGCTAGCAGGGCAGAAGTCACTATCTTATGAAACTTATCATAGAAGTGACATCCCAACACCCTTGCTATATTCTCTTGGTTAGAGGCAAGTTACAGCTCTTGTCCACACTCGGGGGGGCGGGGTGAGGGATTACACAAGCGTGTGAATATCAGGTAGCAGAGATGATTCCGGCCATCCAGGAAGATGCCTGCCATCCAGGAAGATGCCTGCCACTGTATGTGATTCATTTTGATTTAGTGGGATGAATAATAATCAAGTTATCACCCAAGGAATGCTATTTGAAATGCGTGTTGAGTATTCTGGCATGCCCCAGTGGTGATGAATTTGGACAGAGTCTTCCGACTCTAAAATGCCACTTTATGGTATGTCAGAAATGTTGCTTTGGTAGAAAGTCAGCATTATCATATCACCACGATAGAACTTATAAAAGAAGTTCCTTAAAGAACAATCTCTAATGCCCATGACTTTGCAACACTGCCTTCAAAGGCATAAGCCTCAGACGTCACAGGCTCATATTTGTGTCCTTATCAGAAATTCCTGTGTAGTAGAGCAAAGAGGTCCTGGGCTTTGGAGTCTCTCAGCTGGGATGATGAGGTCTGACCACTGAGTGGCCTTGACCAAGATCCTTAACCATCAAATCCCAGTTCTTTTTAATGCCTAAAATAAGAACAATAATACTTAGCTCAATTTAGGTCATTTGAAGCACTCAGAAGAGAAAATATTAATACCCTTATCTTTCTTTTGCCACAATTCTGGACCTATGTAGACTTATTTGATTATTTAATGTTGACTTAACACCAAGAATGTAAAAAGCACAAATGTTAGGGGTTTTTTTAGTAAAGTGAAACTTTAGAATCTTTCATTCTTCCTGATTATTTGCTGTGCAAATCATCGTAACAAAGCGCTTATTTATAAATTGCCCTAGAGTTCTTTAACACATTTAGATTCAACCATCCATAAACAGTGACATTTTTAACATGGAACACTGGTAACATCAACAGAAACCAGCTCTGGCTGATTTCAGAAAAAGGGAGTTTACTGGAAGCATGTTGGGTTGCTTCTAGAATCAACTGTAAGCTACAGCAGAAGTTCTAAAAGTATGGTCTGTGGACTCCTGGGGTCTCTGAGACCCTTCCAAGGAATTTTCAAAGTGAAAACTAATGCTGTTATAATACTAAAACGTTACTTGACTTTTTCACTGAGTGAACATTTGCACTAATGGTGCAAAAGCAATGATGATGAAAACTGATGGTGTCTTATTTCTCCAAAGAGGACATCCAGATGGCCAACAGACACATGAAAACATGCTCATCATCACTTTTCAGGGAAATGCAAATCAAAACTACAATGAGAGATCAACTCACACCTGTGAGAATGGCTAAAATCAACAACACAAGAAATGACAGGTGTCAGTGAGGATGTGGAGAAAAAGGAACCCTCAGGCACTGTTGGTGGGAATGCAAACTGGTACAGCCACTGTGGAAAACAGTGTGGAAGTCCTTCAAAAAGTTAAAAATAGAACTGCCTTACAATCCAGCAGTAGCACTATTGGTTATTTACCCAAAGAATACAGAAACACTCATTCAAAGGGATACATGCACCCCGATGTTTATAGCAGCGTCATCTACAACAGCCAAGATATGGAAGCCGCCCAAGTGTCCATCAACTGATGAATGGATAAAGAAGATGTGGTATATAATACACCACGGAATATTATTCAGCCATAAAAAAGAATGAAATCTTGCCATTTTCAAGGACATGGATGGAGCTAGAGTGTATTATACTAAGCAAAATAAGTCAGGCAAGAAAGACAAATACCATATGATTTCACTCATATGTGGAAATTAAGAAACAAGAAAAAGAGAGAGAAACAATTCAAGAAACAGACTCTTAACTGTAAAAAACAAACTGATGGTGACCAGGGGTGGGGGCGTGGACAGATGACAGAGATAAAGGAGGGCATTTGTCGTGATGAGCACCAGGTGATGTAGGGAAATGTTGAATCTCTACATTGTACACCTGAAACTCCTATAATACTGTGTGTCATCTAACTAAAATCAAAATAAAAACTTAAAAAGAAAACTGATGCTGTCTTATCATGTATCATGACAAACTATATTCATAGTAATGTATTCTTCACAACCTGCACAATAGCTAAAAAAAAAAAGTCAGTTTCACTTTAGAATATCCTTGATACAGCCATGAAATTATTAAATCTTGACCCTTGAGGACAGAACATTTTAATATTACATGTGGTGAAATGGGAAGTATGAACAAATCACTTCTGCTGCACACTGAAGCACGATGATTGTCTTAAGAAAAAGTGCAGGTGCAATTCTGAGAGTTGCAAACTGAAGAAGCCACTTTTTTTCACAGAATACCATTTGCTCTCAAAAGAGGGCTTGACAAACTTCAGGCCTGGTCTTGGGCAGGCATTTTCTCAAAAAGGAACAAGATGAACCTGTCACTTCAAGGATAACAAACGACAGTATTGTAGCCAATGATAAAATTCAAACCTTCCAGTGAAAATTTGAATTTCGAGAAAACTTGTCAATTAGGATGCTTTCTGCAGTGAGCTAGACTGCTTCTCAATCCTTTAAGACTTTTCTGATTAGGTTTCTGATTTAGATATTATATAATGAAATATGTCAGACTTTAAAAGATCTGCATAAATCAACACACCAATTTTTCTAAATGGCCAATGTGCAATGTTATAAAATCGTGTGGCAGTAACAGATCCATTCAAAGTGCAAGGTAAACAAATGGATTTGGATGAAACATAGTCATGGTTTTAGATTTCACATTGCAACTGATCTTTAAGAAGCAACTAGTTGTGGGGCGCCTGGGTGACTCAGTCAGTTAACCATCTGACTCGATTTTGGCTCAGGTTCTGATCTCAGGGTCATGAGATCAGCCCCACCTTGGTCTCCACACTCAGCATGGAGCCTGCTTAAGATTCTCTCTGTCCCTCTCCCTCTCCCCCTTCCCCCTGCTCCTGCTTGCTTGCTCTCTTTCTGTCTGTCTCTCTTTCTCTCTGTCTCCCAAAAAAAGAAACTACTAGTTGTAAGTTCTGATGTAGTATCAAAGAATGTCCATACTGTCTGAAATGGCTATTAAAATTCTCCTCCCTTTTCTGTCCACATATCTGGGTGAGGTTGGATTTTCTTCATATTCTTCAACCAAAACAACAAATTGCAACAGACTGAAAGCAAAAGCAAATATGAAAATCCAGCTATCTTCTATTAAGCCAGACATTAAAGA